TTTATCACTATCAGATCGCTACTTACATTCACTGCAAAACGATTGGGAGGGTGCTCTTGATTCCTCTAGCGATAGTTCGCAAATGTTAAACTGCAATTGAACCGTAAAATACTATACATCATTGAATACAGGATCAAAAGGGTTTTAAGAATATATCAGAATATCAGGGCCGTATTAAAAATGAAGTTTTAATTTCTCAGTTCATATTTTATTATCTTTGATTTTAAGTGAATGATGGATGCTCTACCTGTACTCACACTTGGCATACCTGAATCTTTGTACCATAATGAAACAAATGCTGTAGGTACCACCCGTTTGCTCCAAACATTCATTTCGTTATCACCTCTACATCAGTTGAGTTGATAATTTTGCTCTTATTCTAACGAATCATGAGAACAACAAAGATTACACACCGATTGGAAATATATGTCTCCATTGACTTAAAATGAAGTGTCATTTGTATTAAAGTTAAATAGTATTACATGGAAGAACAAAGTTAACTTTGCAATAATGAAATGGTTGATTGTTCTCAAGCAATAGGTAACTACTGCATTTTCCAAAAAAAAAGGTCGGTTCAGCCAAAGCTCAATTATTCAAAGATAATGAGTAAGTATACCTACTCTTAAAAGCAAGTCTTACGTTGAAAACATTAGCACTCGACTACTCGAGTACCTACAACCGAGTATTTTGAATGTGCAAACGGCACCATTCAGACGGCGCAATCAAGTAATTCTGTTTTTACACAAGAACGCATAACCTTTTCATTAAATTTTCAATAAAAGTTAATGTTCAACTATTAAAAAACGAAATGACGTATCTTCCCGGCTGTATAATAATTTAACACTCAAATTCTACAAATGGTGAATTGTCAAACATTCGTGAAACAGTTAGAGCTATAATACCTGTCTGAAGTTTTTGTAATTCAAATAACAATTTATTTCGGGAACATTAATTCGCGCTCAGTTGATGGATAATATTTTTCTGCCCCGACGTATTCTCGAAATGAGACTGTTCATTGTAACTCTGATACATTTCTCATTTTAACACGCGCATTATTTGTGTTTAGAATCGATATCAATCACTTTTGCTACCTACGCTGTGATCGTGTTTAGACACTATTAATCTACTTATAAAATTACCTCCAGCTTTGTGACAAGCAGTTATGAATAGCCCTTTGAAGTAGTGAAATTTTTCAAGTCGATTATAAGATGTTTTTTTTTTCTTAGAGAAATGTTTATATGTAGAATGGCAATATTTATTTATTGTCAAACCTCCAGTTTATAAACATGTGCTTCCTAGCAAATTCAAATGTCAACGTGAACTATGCATACATTTCCCTTAATTTTCAAATGTACACCGCTCTGAGACAGTAGATCGGTAGGAACCTGTGGGAATCCATTAATTGTTGCATGGAATCTAGGTTGCATATTGAGGACAGTGTGCTTTAGTTAGTTGCATGGTGAACTGAACCGCAGAACCATCTACAAGATACCTATAAATCAATGAAAGATTTTTTTGTGTTATCCACTATAATAAAAGAGTGAGAGTAGTGAAGTAATAATTTTCATATTCTTAGTAAGTGCAAATATGACTTCCCATCGTTTCTGACCTGCATCAAGTACCCTATGAGTGTAAAGCAGCATCGGTCTTTCATCATCTTATTAGTTCCCAAATAAGTGAAGTGCTAAGAGATATTATACTCATTATCTGAATGAGACGGCCTATGTCGAATTGAAGTGTGCAATTAAGCATGGAATGTAGGTCAGGATGTCGTCTTGGAAATGTTAGGACCAAACAAAAGGAAAACGTAAATACCTGCTTCGTTTGATGAAACTCAATTCTACGGGTTTCTATACGTTTATACTATCAGGGTGTTTGAACAATGGCTTCAAGAATCACCTCAAACTTAATAAACTCTATAATAAGAACTCACAAATTTTTACCTCAAAGCAATAAAGTCGTTGGGAATTTTCTTTAACACTTTATAAGTAGCAAATATATAAACAGAGCCATTTAAAGCAAACAATACGAAAGTATTAATCAAAGATCCGTCCATGAATGACGCTGTTTACAACTTAAAACATCATTTCCAAATTGAAAAGTACATATAAAAGGGTAACCCGTCGACGCGTTTGACTTCTGTAAAATTTTTATTACCCCAGCTTTCTGTTCTCGAGCCTTCCATGATCGAATAGTGCGTTAAATTTCTTTGGGGTATTTACTTGTTATTTCGGAGGTGATTTTCTGGCGCAATTTTATTTCATCTTATGCCCGATAAGAGACGAGTTCTGAATTTCGGACTTATTTATAACTTATTTTTATGGTCGCTTAACGTCTTCCCGAACTTTTTCATTCATTGCCGAAACGTTTACGGCCATATAGAAGTTGTGACATTATAACTTGTACAATAAAACTCATATTTGTGCTGCGTGTTGTAGCACAAAAACACGAAAATAAACGCTGCTGAAATTTAAGGGCTTCTTGCTACTGAACAGGTTTTCAATTGTGAATATAATTACTTATAAGTACATTTTATCAATAAGTAATGTTATTAATACGCATTTGAATACGCACGAATATGTAGGAATTTTGAAAAAAAATTAGGCATACCCTAAAACCTATCCAAAGAAATTTTTGTAACTCTTATGATTGCTGAGAAAAAAATTGAAGAAGAAATCCAAATTTCGCCACTTCTTTGGAGGTGGCTCCCAAACAAAACACGTTGGACCCTCGGTTTATTAGGAAAAAGTGCTTGTCCTCTCTATCGGGCAATTTAATTTTTTTTACATAGGTACGGTCATGTAACACCCTATATTATGGCGCATACCGTACTTAGCGTAACTTGGCAGCCAATTTCCACTACTTGACTTGAGATTAACTAGATTTTAAGTCGAGTTAGGACAAGTAGTTTGAAAATCAGGTCCAGTAGTGAATCCCTATTGACAGTAAAGTAAATCAAATAAGTAGAACAGAATCAAGTAGAATTTACTTAATTCGTCAGAGACTTGGCTTCTAGTAGAAACGCCTCTGTAACGTTTTGTTTAAGTTAATTGTGTAGATCCTTTAGGCTTGCATATATTCATATTCGTTATTCTGTGCGTCCTAGATCTCGTTTAGCTATTCATAGTACCCGAAAAAGTTTTGTCGAGATCTATTATTTTGCCTTTGTGTTTGACCTATCCATCTTAAAATCACCAAGGTTGCTTCCGTTACTCTCCAACGGGTTAACCGATCCAATTCAAAACGACTAGTATCCGTTTCACTATCTTTGTGGTTCAATAGTGCAAGTATAGGTACCTATCTCAAATTAATACCACTTGAAATAAAGGGACCAAAGATCGATAAGGATGAAGTTAACTTTTAGTTCATTGCGTTTAGTACGCAATTGGACATGCAAATTAATATTGACGTAGACCTTAAGGAATAAATAATATTTTTATACCCCTTTCATATTTAAGCAATATCAGAACAAAAGCGAATGTACCTATTTAATCCGCAAAAAGTTTTTGGAAATTAGGTTACGCCCCGAATACGAAAATAGAATGATCGTGTCGGTATCTGATGAACTTTTAGGGATTTTGTAGGGCAAACTAACTGTTTTCGAGTTCTAACATTATCGAGCAATCATTTGCTCACCGAACACGTTCGAGTCAGTATGAGGATTAGTGAGAGAATTCAGCAATATGCTGCCGCTGTGTTGTGTATGCGTGCGAGTTCGATAAAAATTCAAGAGTTAACTCGATACCGAAAGCAAACGGAAGCACGTCGGCATTTTTTTTCGAAATTAAAGGCCGTATATATAATGAACCTAACTAAATAAAGGTAAAGCCTCGAAAGCTTAATCATCGTATAACGGGAAAGTTAGCGTTGGAAGCAAATGATTCGGAACTTTCGGGCACCCACATAACTTCGAGATTTTATCGAGACGTAACAGGGTCGACAACATTACAGATAAGAACCTACCTCGTTTTAGCTGTAACAATATAGGGGATGGAAGATGTGCCTTTTATTATACACAATCATTTTAGACTATCATTGTCTTCGAGCCATATCACCCAAGATGTCGATTTTTTAAGCGATATGGCGAAACAATTCTAGAAATTGTATAGTCTGTGCAAGCTTACAATTGTGAGATTACCTCATTTATATAAGCAATAACTACTGAATTGGTGACCATTACGGTCTTCTTTTAGAATGCAATTCAATTGAATCTGATTTACACTGCATTAATAAACTTTACGAACAGTTATTCTACTCTTATTCCAATATTTTCTTTTGCTTGAATTCAAACTAATTCTGTGTGATTTAAATGGCGCTGCTCAGCATTTTGTAAATTACACTGCCAATTTATATCACTTTACTTTACTGATCACTATCCAACTTATTACTTTAACTTACGCAAATCCCACAAACATACATTAAATGAGGAATTATACCCGAATCAATCATGCCAACTATAATAATAATCATACATACTGCTAATGTGCAAAGTATTTACAATAATACAATCGTCAAAAAAATAGAAATATGATTCCGCGTTAGAGGTCGTTTCATCAACCCAAAATGACAAATATTTGACGATTAATGATTGAAAAATGGAAGAATTTCATCAAAAGCAATTCACATATTTTCAACAAACTCGAACTTTAGCATTCTCTCCCACCAAACGACTTATACAAATTGTGAATCGAAGAGCCACGGATTTATGTTAATTTAGCGAAATTGCCGTTTTCTTATACAGAATTTCAATTTCCCCCGGTACTCATTATGCGGCAATTTGTGTTCCACCCTTTTTTAGGTGGCCTGGTAAATTATTTTCCCATTTGTAAAACATTGTCGTTTGTCTAAAACTCATTTGGTATAAGATACAGACTTTTAATCTAGAGCCAACTGTATAATTTTAAACAGTAAATAACAAAAAAAGAGAAATTGGAGTAGGTATTAATGACCTAATACGATTTTCTTTTCATAGGGCGTAATGGAGAAATAAATCGTTGCAGTAGAGTGTAATTGTTTTGTAATTATTGCATTCAAGTAAAAGGCAGTAATAAAGTGTAGCTTTTAACGTCATCCGAGTACAAAATTAAATAATTACTGATATAATAATTAATTAAGGAGTTTAAATCTTTAAAAGTTTTTTCATTAAATTTTTCTTGTCCCAGGGCAATTAGGGCATCGGTCCTTTGTCGTATTACAAGATGAAAGACTTTATTATCCTGCGTTAGTGAAAGGATTCCTATGTTGGGTTCCTGAGATGAAGGGCGAATAATGAAGGTGCCATTTTGTTTACCCTGCAGGAGTTCCTCGGCAGTTTCTCTATTCACGTGCTTGTAGAAGGATTCGGTTATTTCAAACTTCCGCTCTGAAGCAAAAAAGAAAGATTTAAAAATTTTATGAAAAAGTTATTTGCCTTGAATTCTCTTTCAAATTCGCGCATTTAGCTTTAAGGCTAACGAAAGTTCTTCTCGTTCGACAAACTTTTCCTATAATAAGTACGTAAAATGCATTCGTGGTTTTATCAAATAATATTACTATCGAAGGGTAAAAAGTTTGGTTCTCGTGGTTTATCATTATCGCGTAATTGAAGCTCTTTTCCACCCTCGAAATTGGATCGAAAGTTAAACATTAGTCAAGGGCGAAAACGTCTATTTTAACAGAAAATTTATCGCCGTTTCCTAAATTAAAAGTAGTTGTAAGTTTAAAGAAACGTACCGTGCTTACTATCGTAAATACTACTTTGTAAGCTGTTATTCCTCATACAGAAGCAAACACAACACATTTTGTAAGTTGCGTCTAAGCAATCACTAAATATTCGGTTGGCCAAGTTGCCAAATACTCGAAAGAACACTTTGAAACACCAACACATTTATTTCTTATCTTACGTAGATCCGCGCCGTGTTCAGGCAAGACAATTTAAATGCATTTGCAGCGCATGCAACCAAAATAAAAATCCATAATGTACGTATGTGACATATGTGCACATAACCATACAATGTAACTTTTTATTCTTTTTATAACATATGCTTATTTCTACTTGATTTTTATAGTACACAAAAATGACTTCCGGAATTTAGTATCTGTCACGGGGTGTTACTCCATCTTTCGTTTCCCTTGCTTTGGACGGTTTATTTTTTAGCCCGTTAAACACAATTACTTTGGCCTATAAATTGTGTAGAGCTCTTGAAGCAGGCGTGCTGACGTTTTCCAAATGCGTTTTAGAACATTTTTAAACAATATAATTGATTCAACACGTTTTGTAACCTTGGTCATCAGTGGATTCATATATGATTTCGCCATTTTTATGTTTATATTGCAGGATTTACCACTCCAATCTTCCAAAAGTTTAGCCCTCCTAATTTAGTAGGTAACCACATTTCACGTTCACATTCCTAGATGAGATTTTAAATTTTATCACCGAAAGCATAACAATATCCTTCGTAGGTATAGTCATGGACTGCTTGTACCTACTCCATTATAAATGCTTGTAACTATCAATTATATAAGTACCTATATCATTTTAACGTTAAGCCAAGAACTCTATTATGCGAAAAGAATCAGCAATGGTGTAAAATACGTACTATTATTAACCAAATATATCATTCAACATGGCGGCCAGGGGCGGACTGGGTACTTAAGGGCCAGGTGGAATTGCATAGGTTACGGGCCATTAAAGTATTAGTGTAGTAATGAAGGTGGCGGGGCGGGGGGGGGGGAAGCTCTGTCGAAAATCAATTACCATACAGTTTTTTTTAAATATCTCCAAAGAAGGGAGATCTTTTTGGTGAAACGCCTAACGTAGAGTTATCATCTTTTTAAACACCTTTTAGTATAACGACAAAATTTTTAAGCTAGAGCCATAATCTAATGTAATCATATGGGTAGATATCAAACGGGACATTTTGGGTCCTCGTTTATCCTTCTTGTCCATTATTTATATTCTTGACGATGTATAAGAAAATATTTAAAGTTGTAATAAATAAGGTACCTAGTAGAGAGTGCTTTTGCATTTAAGAATACACTACCCGTGTATCAAGCCTAATGATTTACTTTAGCTTTTCAAGCGGAAAAACAGAAGGGAAATCAAAGCTTCGCATAGTCGAGTTTCCCTCGGCACTGGAAAAGAAAAAGAAACAATCTAGTGGTTGCAAATAGCACAATTATGTTCGTTTATCTACCGATAGGGCGCACATACAACTCAATCACTGCCTTGATTTTATTCTATAGATTTCTTACTAAGATTAATTATTGTGATGTCACCAAAAGATATGTTATTCATGCATTAAGGAAGAGCATAACTTCTTATAACCAAGTTAATTTTGGCTGGGAAATGGGAGGCAAAAATGTCTTTATACGAGAAGTGTTTGAAGCGGATATAAAAATGTGAAATTCAATAGGTAGTTGAGCCAACAGGCAGGAGATGAAAATCCGTGCCCGCTTGAAAAATAACGATTGGTGGAAATCATGAAGAATTATGCTGCATAATATTCGATAAACTTTGAAATTTACTTTTTAAACGTATTTAGATACGTGAACTACTATGCTCCAAGAGGTTACCTACCTAATAAACGAAATTCCTCAATTCTATAGTTAAAAAACAAAGTTTTCTATTAAGGTATGTACGTTATAACAAAAAATACCAGTCTTTGCGTTCTTAAAATCCGTGGGTAGTTTGATTTAAAACGCGGAATTTTAATTAATCACATCACTACGGTTTGTAAAGATAATCTTGTTTCTCGCTTGAAATCTTGGTACGAAAATTAATTTAGTCGAATTACAACTTTCGTAGCTTGTCCAGAAAATCTTCAAAGGTTTTTAAAGCAATTTTCAATAAAATGCATTGGAGAAGATAAAAATTCTCTAGAGACAGAGCGGCGTGAGCTTTAAAACATAGTGGATTTTATACATTTTCTAAATCCACGACATTGCTGTTTGAAATAGTTTTATTGAAGTGAGGGGGTTGGTGGTTTACGGAAATATGTAGAAAATAAAGTTTTCCGGTTTGCTTTGCTGTAACGCAACACTAAAATAAACGGGAAAAAGTAGCGTGTTTCGCTGGCGAGAATCGAGAAGTAGATCTAGAAAGTATTACGATTTTTCCCTAACCTCATTAGAGAGCAGCGCAAATTTGTAATTAGAGTTGTAAAAGAAAGAAATAGTGCCTTGGATATTTACTAGGCCACTTTTGTGGTTTTCTAGAAACGTATTTGTGTTAAAACATCAAAATGAAAATGTATGCCTATATTATTTAAATCTTAACCGCGCGATCTTCTTGCCGACAGAGATATTGCAATTTGAGCCCAAACGCCATAAATCTATGTAGTAAATGTTAATAAAGTGAAAACCTCGACCCTTTTCATGTACAACAACGCCTCCACTTCGCGTAATCATTCATAATTGAAGAATTTAATTTAGCGTTGTGTATTTGTCAGCCACCAATTATAAATACAAACAAGATTTTAATTTAAACTGGATTTTGTTTAATTACTAGGAACAATCGGGTATACTTGCTTGTGATATCAACTTTTCCATAATTACTTGACAAGTGCATTGCTTTAATACTTTTTCACTCTTTGTCTGGAAATTCTGTTGCGCAGAAATCTCTATTCAAAATACCCATCGCGTTTCGACATCCTCTACATTCATTCATTTTTCAACAGATTGTTTCTATCTTTAATCGAAAATCGTAGTAAAAATAGAAGGGTATACTTTCTTGCGTGACTTTTGATACATGCAAAGCTCGAAATGTACAACACGTCAAACAAAATTGAAAATTCTGCATTTTTTGCCAATTTTATCCCAATTTATGACATGCAGTAATTTGATGATATTTTGCAAATGTAGCTATTCAGGAATCGAAAGGAGAAAAATATGGGACAGGCATTTGTGTTGAAAAGAACTGTTGAAGTACCTTGAAATTACTCAATATGAAATGAAGTCAAGTAATATGGAAAATTATAAACTACTTGACTTGCTGAATCATTACACGCAAGACAAAATTTTATAAAAAAATGCGTAAGTTTAAAACGAGAAGGAAACCTATTTTTGGGGTGCAATTACAGGGTTGATTATAGATTACATAAGCATAATCTACCAAAAAAAAATAAAAATAGTTGGTGTACCACAAAAGTTACAACTCCTGGAATTGATGATTGCTATACAAAATTACATAACTTTAAAATATAGAAAGAAATTTTTCTTCAAATGATAATTGCAGGGTTGTTTATAGATAATAATAGTAATAATAATAAACCGATACAACGGAATATCGAAGGATCCTCAGCATTACTATCACTTTTTTAACGATCATTTATTTTAACCTTCGATTTTAAGGTGCGTGTCAGACGTACGGACAAAAGGGTGGACATTGAATGACACAAAACCATTATACCCCCCGTTTGTTACACGTGAAGGCAAACTGATGTCCAGATTTCTAGAACGCACGTATTTTAACGCAACAATATGTTACCATTACTATTAATTATGCAAAAGGCTCACATGCATAGTTTACCGTACCAACAGCATTATAAATCCGTCATGAAAAACTATGTCCTTGAAAGGGTCGAAACAAACATTATATTCTCGATAGTTGTACCTACTTATCTTGCAAAATTTTAGCGATTCTACTCCACTGAGTTTTAATTACTCCCTCTTTGTAATCTGAACCGTCAATTTTCTTCTGTATCCAAAATCTTGCATGATATTAGCGAGTAGTAAAATCTGGCAAGTTGTGGTGAACTGACATTTTTTGACTTCGGCATAATTTGGCCTTCTACTTTTTGGAGCACCAAACGTGAAAAGGATGTAAGTACCTACCCGTTTTATACACTCGGTGTCGTCGGATATCATTATATCATTTCGTCTTTATCCCTGACATTGACTTGAATTGAAATGACTTCACGAAGAGCGAATATGACTTCCAACCGAACGCGTTGTTTGTAGTAGAGTATCGGCTCAAAGTGATGTATTAGAAATTGATCGCATACTTAAGTATACATAAAAGAAATATCAGATTAAAACATTCTAGACAAATTTGTTTGAGTAAGTATAAAAAGATATTGGAAATGTATGTCACGGATTGGTTTTTCATTTTCGTTTATATTTGCAAACCTGATTTACATCTATTAGAACGTTCGATTGTGTGTAAGTGTTTTGGAATGGCGTCTCGGCGACAGCAACACCCAACTGTCCGATAGCGAAAGGCTATTTCACAAATTACTTTCGCCAAATAGCGATGTGTTTTGGGGTATGACAAATTAAAAAAAAATGCAAATGAATGCAGATGAGTTTGGTGTAAGCCGAAATTTAATTTCGAAGAGAATCGACAATGAATCTCGATACAAATGAAATAAAGACTTACAGATGTTCGCGTTTCTCTTTTTGCATCTTCAGTCTTAGCTTCTACATAATTTATAAAATCTATATCTATCGAAGCAGATGCTTGAAGCATATGTTGAAAATGTGTTCTACAACTGCTATTATCTCGCATCCAAACGCAAGTGTACCATAACGAGCTAAAGGTAGACCGAATTCTCTAATAATCTACCTAATTGGTGGGAAATTTGAATAAATTCTCGCGTACTAAAGTTTCAGCTTTGGAAAAGTAATCGTGGTGTTTGCACTAAGGGAATCCTTCCGGTATCTGCTTAGAAACATCGAGTTCGATTACGAAAATAAGTGGGATGGATTTTACTTTATCGGGGCGCCTTATACAGTTTTCGATTTAAAAAAGTTTGGTCAAAACCATGCATATAATTTGTGTATATTACATCGATATTATATTTTTGTTTACATCGTCAGAAGGGGAGACATTTTTAAATGTGTTGACACGATTTCGTTATACTTCTCAAAAGATTATTTCTCTGTTTATTTTAGAAGTGAAATG